GTACAATAAACATTTTTATATGGATCGTCTTTTTATTTTGGATTATGTCAGTGGAGCATATACACAAAGTGGATTTATCCTATGAAAAGATTTAAAAAGGGCTGGGCATGGTGGCTCACGCCTGTAATCTCAGCACTTTGGGAGGCCGAGGCAGGCGGATCACTTGAGCCCAGGAGTTCGAGACCAGCCTGGGCAATATAGGGAAACCTCTTCTTAGAGAAAATAAAAATAAATTAGCCAGGCGTGATGGCACATGCCTGTGGTCTCAGCTACTCAGGAGGATGTGGTGAGAGGATTGCTTGAGCCCAGGAGGTGGAGGCTGCAGTGAACTGTGATCACACCACTGCACTCCAGCCTCACTGACAGAGTGAGACCCTAGTTCTAAAAATATATAAATAACTTAAAAATATAAAGAAGCAGCCAAAGGAGAGGAAGTTAAGAGGAGTCAGTCAGAGCAAAGTCTCTGAGGCCAGCAGCCTGCCTGGTTTGAAAGGCAGCTGCTCCCACTCACTAGTCATGAACCTTGAGCAAGTTTCCTAACCTCTGTGCCTCATTTTCTCATCTATAAAGTGGGCATAAGAATAGTAAGCCTGGCCAGGCGCAGTGACTCATGCCTATAAACCCAGCACTTTGGGAGGCCGAGGCAGGTAGATCACGAGGTTGGGAGTTCAAGACCAGCCTGGCCAACATGGTGAAACCCCGTCTCTACTAAAAATACAAAAATTAGCCGGGCATAGTGGTGGGCGCCTCTAATCCCATCTACTCAGGAGGCTGAGGCAGAGAATTGCTTGAACCTGGGAGGTGGTAGTTGCAGTGAGCTGAGATCGTGCCATTGCACTCCAGCCTGGGCAACACAGCGAGACTCCGTCTCAAAAAAAAAAAAAAAAAAAAAGAATGGTAAGTCTACTTCATACAGCAATTGCGAGGGAAAGGTAAATTATATATAAAGCACCAAGAGTCATGCCCAGCAAATGGTGTAACTGTTAGCTGTTATTATTGCTGTTATCATCATCGTCATCTGCATCATCGTTCAGTCAATCTCATTAAGTTTATTTTTTATTTTTTTAGAGGCAAAGTCTTGCTAAGGGCTGGAGTGCAGTGGCTATTCACAGGCGTGATCATAATGCACTACAGTCTGAAACTCCTGAGCTCAAACAGTCATTCTGCCTAAGCTTCCCCAGTAGCTGGAATTACAAGCGTGCATCCCTGAGCCTCAGTGATTAAGTTTTATTATGTAAAAAATAAAGAGCAAACAGTCATAGCTGATACGGACTCTCTCTTTTTTTTTCTTTTTTTAAGAATTTTCATAACTTTTTAGCCTGCCCATTTCCTAACCTGCCACCGTTGGAAGCCATGGATATAGTGGAGGTCATTTACATCAACAGAAAGAAGAAAGTGTGGGATTATAATTATGATGATGAAAGTGACAGCGATACTGAGGCAGCACCCAGGATGAGTGGCGGTGGCTATACCATGCATGGACTGACTGTGAGGCCTCTGGGTCAGACCTCTGCCACCTCTACAGAATCCCAGTTTACAGACCCAGACTCCGAGGAGGAGCCTGACCTGCCTGAGGTTGATGTGGAGCTCCCCACGATGCCAAAGTGCAGCCCTCAGCGGTTGGAGCTCTTGAGTGCGCCCTGTGAGAGGAGAGAGAGTCCGCTCCAGGACCCCTTTCCCGAAGAGGACTACAGCTCCACTGAGGGGTCTGGGGGCAGAATTACCTTCAATGTGGATTTAAACTCTGTATTTTTGAGGGTTCTTGATGACGAGGACAGTGACGACTTAGAAGAAGCCCCTGTGATGGTATCATCTCATCCGGAAGAGATGGTTGACCCAGAAGATCCTGACAATGTGCAGTCAAGGCATTTGCTGGCCAGTGGGGAAGGGACACAGCCAACCTTTCCCAGCCCCTCTTCAGAGGGCCTGCAGTCTGAAGATGCTCCATCTGATCAAAGTGAGACTTCTGAGTCAGATGTTGACTTTGGGGATGGTTATATAATGAGATGACTCCAAAACTATTGAATGAACTTGGACAGACAAGCACCTATAGGGTTCTGTCTCCCTGCACCCTAACTTGCTGCCTTATCGTCTACAAGTGTTCTCCAAGGGAAGAGGTAGGGAACCGTAGGGTACTCCATTCTTCCAGGTGGCATCACCTATGCAGATTCCCAGTATGGGGACCATAGTATCATTGAGTGCATTGTTTACATATTCAAAGTGATGGACTTTGAAGGAAGCACGTGTGCACCTTCCCTTTACACTAATGCACTTAAGATGTTTCTGCATCATGTTTACCAGGGAGCAGGGTTCTCTGTGGTTTCAGAGGTGGTCCAGGACCCTATGATATTTCTTTTTGTTTCTCTTTTTTTTTTTTTTTTTGAGACAGAGTCTCATTCTGTCACCCAAGCTGGAGCGCAATGGCGTGATCTCGGCTCACTGCAACGTCTGCCTCCCGGGTTCAAGTGATTCTCCTGCCTCAGCCTCCCTCGCGAGTAGCTGGAACTACAGGCACCCACCACCACGCCTGGCAAATTACTGTATTTTTAGTAGAGACGGGATTTCACCATGTTGGCCAGGCTGATCTCTAACTCCTGACCTCAAGTAATCCACCCTCCTCAGCCTCAAAAAGTGCTGGGATTACAGGGGTGAGCCGCTGTGCCCAGCTGGAACTGTGATATTTCTGGGAAGTAAACTGGGCCAGGGTGGGAGCAGCGAAAGAAAAGGAAAATAGTAGCAAGAGCTGCCAAGCAGGCAGGAAAGGAGGAGGAGAGCCAGGTGAGCCCCTGGAGAGAAGGGGGGCCCTGCACAAGGAAACAGGGAAGAGCCATCGAAGTTTCAGTCAGTGAGCCGTGGGCATCTCGCCTATGTCACATCCTGTCTCCTGCACTTGGAATTCCACCTTGTCCAGCCCTCCCCAGTTAAAGTGGGGAAAACAGACTCTAGGATCAGGCACATGACTAATACAGAAAGGAAACATGGTGTCGGGGAGAGGGATAAAAACCTGAGTGCCATATTTTAAGGTTAAAAAAAAGAGCAAAGGTGCTTCAGGGTCTTCAGGAGAAGACCTTGAACCTTCAAACCTTTCTCTTAGGCCCCTTCAAAAGGGGAAAACTAACAATTATACAAGTCATAGTTCAAGGACTTTAACCAGATTATTTATATGATTGTGCAAAAGAATAGGACTGTGAGGAGGGAACACCTTATTTAATACATACAAGTTTCAGAGACCCTATTTGACAATTTTCAGAGTGCTCTCTGTGCTGATTCCGAATCGAGTGTGTCAGCTGTGATTACAGTTCCTGTGAATCTAGGGCAGGTTAGGGGGGTGCAGATGGGGGAAGGGAAGCCTGACTGGGAGCAATCTACCTGTAATCCCAGCACTTTGGGAGGCCTAAGCAGGCGTATTGCTTGAGACCAGGAATTCGAGACCAGCCTGAGCAACATGGCAAATCTGTCTCTACAGAACAAAATTACAAAAATTAACTGGGCGTAGTAGCATGTGCCTGTTGTCCCAGCTACTTGGGAGGCTGAGGAGGGAGAATGGCTTGAGCCCAGGATGTAGAGGTTGCAGTGAGCCAAGATCGCGCCACTGCACTCCAGCCTGGGTGGCAGAGCCAGACCCTGTCATTAAAAAGGGGGTTGGGGGGAAAGGTTCTGGAATGTCATGTGGCAACCAGTTTAAGGACTGGGACTCAAGGATCCACCTCCCACAGTTGCCCTGTGTGACCCTAGGCATTTGACTTAGACTCTCTGAGCCTCAGGTTTTTTGTTTCTGAAACAAAAGGATTGGACTAGGTAATCTCCAGGATCCTATGAACCCAGGAGAAAGATGAGAAAATGTACAAGAATAAACACTCAGGTGGAAATGCTGCAACCCTGAGAAACTCCCAGGTTGAATGAAAGGCACAGGACCCTCTTATCCCTCACCCCTCCCCACCCCCCAAGAGCCGGTTTCTCAAACCTTTCTCTTAGGCCCCTTCAAAAGGGGAAAACTAAAAATTATACAAGTCATAGTTCAAGAACTTTAACTAGATTATTTATATGATTGCGCAAAAGGATAGGACTGTGAGGAGGGAACACCTTATTTAATCTAATGAAATTCCATAGGAAAGAGACCTTTTGTATGTGTAATCAATTTCTCTGCCTTCTCAATGCATCTGTCATATTCTGAAAGATTTCCGGGTTGATCTTTTGGGATAAGTTCTATGGCTGTTTGTGAGTGTGTGTGTGTGTGTGTGTGTGTGTGTGTATTTTTAATTTTGTATAATGGTTGGAGGTTGGTAAAAAGTAATACAACAATACTTTTTAATACAAACTTGGTGTGGTCTTGAGTTGTTTTCCATTGGAGAGTGTATGTGTGCCACAGATTGGTGCACCTGCTGGCATCTCTAGGATTGCACCAACTCCCTCTAGCTCTTCCTGGTGGCCTGCAGGGGCCTAGGGCACATTCACTGCCCTTCGCTTGACTTTACGTGGTGTCCTAGCGTCAGACATCAGGCGATGCTGTCGATTACCCAAGACATTGGACAGCTCTGGATTTTCCCATCTCACCACTCATCAAGTTAAAAAGAGGAAATTAACGTTTTCTCAGTAGTCCCTGAAAGAAACTAGTTATTTGCGTAAAAATGACTGGGCTTTGTGGTGTTTATCCCTGGAGAGGAGAAGGGTAAAGAAGACCCTCAAACTGGATTTGCTGATGGAATGCTTTTAACTCACCTATGCGGAGAGAGGACTTTAAGAGAGGGCGTGCCGGTGCTCCGGACAAAACCTGGGGAATACTGAAAGCCACCATCACCGTCATTCCAGCATCCAGAACTCAGTCCTGGGTTGGTGTTGTATGGTATTTATTTGACTTGACGGCGACTTTCACAGTTTGCGAGGCTCCCTTCCTCTTCCTCGTGTGCACCTGCCAAGCCGGTGCCCCGCGCCTCGCGGGCGGACCCGGGCTGGTGGGCGGGGCCTGCAGTGGGGTAGGAGCCCGGTCGCCTGGCCCCTCCCCGCCCCGCCCCGCTCCGCTGGTTCCCGGAAGCGACCGCGTACGGGCGCTCTCAGGCGCGGGCGGGGGTCGTGTGCCTGGAGGAAGCCGCGGCACCCCCGGCGCCCGTCCATGGCGCGGAGCCTTGGGAGCTGGCTGGGCGGCTGCTTGCTGGTGTCAGGTGAGGGGTCCGCGGGGAGGGGGCGCGCTTGGGAACCGGGAGGCCCCGCGAGATGCCACCCGTGATCTCATCCCTGGGCACTCTGAAAGTGACTTAAGTGCCCGGTCCGGCCGTCGGGACCTCGGGACAGAAGATGCAGACGCCGCGGCCGGCTACTGAGACAAAGCTAGGCTGCTGCTGCCGGAGATTCTGTAACAGGAGGAAGCCCGGTCCGCACCCAGATTACAGACCGTCTGGGCCCTAAACTCAGGGGGAGACTCCCGGCGTCTTTTAACTCCCAGTCCTCCTGCGGCGCTCTGCTGGCGGGCGTCTAAGTAAAGTAGCTTCCCCGAAAGACCCAGGATCCCACCGTGGCTGTCATCTGGCCCTTCTGGAGACCATCAGTTCAAGTGGAGGCCCCCACCCGCCCCCGATGCTCTAACAGCCCTCCCTGACCCCAAGTCTGCCCACCTCAGTGCCAGCCCTCCCTACAGATGTGCCTCCCATCACCCGCTGCACCTCCCCTCCTTCCGGTTCAGGCCTGAGCACCCTGAAATCTGTATTCTGCCCCCCAGTGCCCCCCATGGCTTCTAAACCTAAATCCATTGAAACCTTTTCTGTCCTCTAAATTGACTGCCTAGGTTCCAATAACACGATGGTCACCTCCTTCCTTTCTCATGAACTCTTCCCTGGCCTTCCGGGATACTCCTCCGGTTTCCCGCCTACCCGTCAGGCTGTCTCTGCTTGGGACCCTCCTGCTGTGTCAGGTCTCTATGCAGCTAATTGTGAAGCCCAAGGCCTCTTCTCTCCTTCCCCCGCACTGTTCCTTTGGGGGATTTCAGCCAAACCTTGGCATTAAACACGGGCTATAGGCCCATGACTCGCTCTTGGTATCAGTTGGGTGATGGGTGGTGGTTTATTATAGTCATCTACTTTTCTACTTGCATGTAGGTTTCAAATTTTCTTTTCTTTTCTTTTCTTTTCTTTCTTTTTTTTTTTTTTTCGAGACAGAGTTTTGCTCTGTCACCCAGGCTGGAGTGCAATGGCTTGATCTTGGCTAACCGCCACCTCCCCCTCCCGGTTCAAGCAATTCTCCTCCCTCAGCCTCCCAAGTAGCTGGAATTACAGGTGTGTGCCACTATGCCTGGCTAATTTTTGTATTTTTAGTAGAAATGGGGTTTCACCATATTGGCCAGGCTGGTCTCGAACTCCTGACCTCAGGTGATTCACCCACCTCAGCCTCCCAAAGAGCTGAGGTTACAGGCGCGAGCCACCATGCCTGGCTAGGTTTCAAATTCTCTATTAAAAGGTTTGAAAATAATTTCTGTCTCTAGCCCACATCTGTTCTTGGTGTGACCTCTGGGCTCATTCATCTGTCTCCCTGACATTTCTACTTCAGCCTCTCTCCAGCATCTCCAACCTAATGCAGCTCAAATGGGACTCGTCAGTTCCCCAGCTGAGCTCCAATCGGGGCACCAGCTGCTTAAGCCCAAAATGGACATTGACCTCAGCTTTTAGGCATCAAATATATCATCAGGAAGTCTCCAGTTTGTTTTTACCTCTGGAAATATATCTGAAATCCATGTACCCCAGTCTACCCCCTCATACCTTTCTGCCACCATGCAAATCCAGGGCTCCATTGTCTGTCCCCACTTTACTCCTGCCTCTCCAGAAATTTCTCCTCATGGCTGTTCAAAGAAAATCTAGACTCCTCAGCACAGCCAACCTGTCTCTCTCTCCCTCCCTCACCATAGAGGAGAACCAAGTGCGGGATATGGGCTTTTCATGGGCATCTGTTTTGAGGAAAAAGGTTGTAAATGTTTTTCTCGTATTTTCATAGCATTGGGAATGGTACCACCTCCTGAAAATGTCAAAATGAATTCTGTTAATTTCAAGAACATTCTACAGTGGGAGTCACCTGCTTTTGCCAAACGGAACCTGACTTTCACAGCTCAGTACCTAAGGTGGGTCTGGCCTCACTATTGGCAGGAACGCACCAGAGGAGTCGGCCCTGGGCTGGTTACTGGGCTGGGCCACAGGAGGAAGGGAGTCTGACTACGGTCACCATGTGACTGTGACAGCCCTCAGGGAGCCTCCCTGCCAGCTTTTTTCTGTCTGGGAAATTCTGGTGGCCACCTTACCTCTTTTAGGTTTTGTGGTTGTGATTGTTGGTGATTTGAATGTTGATCACAGGGCTGCCAGCAGATATAGACATGTTATCATGCGTATGTGGATAGAGTCAGCCATGGTGGTAACCTCATGCTGTTCAGATCCTAGCTTGTTTGTCACAGTTGATATATTTTAAAAGAAAAATACCACTGCTGTCATCTCCAGGTTTGAGTAGTATTGCTAGAAGTCAACAAGGTTGAGTGGATGCTACCCAAGAAACTGAGATATGCAAAGCAGTCAGGAAGCCCCTTGCTACCATATATCACCTGTTCCCCGACGGATTATAGCATCATGCCTCAGTGCCGTGCGATGCACGTAATTTGCATAATGAGCACTCAGTTTCTCCGTGGTTTCGTCCTGAAATTAAAAGTAAGACAGCTACTGACTGTTAAAAGCCCCATTCTCTGACAACAGCAGGCGCCATGAAGTAAGAGTGAGTGTCACCCTAGACGGTCATCTCAGCAGCGATCTGAACACCCTCTACCTCTCCTGCCTATCAGTTTCCCTATGCCTGGCAAAGGAAGTCAGTGCCAGCACTCCCTTGGCAGCCTGCCACCATACGCCACATGCTGGACTGCAGGTGACACACCTTTAGGCCAGGCGCAAACAGCAGCAGGAGGCCCAAGGCTGACAAGCCAACACACCTGCTTTCTATGTGACTCAGAAACATACGAAGATAGACAAGTCCTTCAATGAGGCAGGAGGATATTTGGTCCCAGATCCAGCTGTCATTTCACAAAAATCCCCAAGGCCTGCTACATCAGAGAAGAAGTAGAAGAAAGATGAGTAAGATAGTCCTTGTCTATGCGTTGCTGGCTTTTGTTTTTTAACTTGTAGTTCCAAATAATTCCAGACTTACAGAACATTTCAAAATTTTAAGTAGAATACAAAGAATTTCCAGATAGCCTACAACCAGATTCACCATTTTTTTTTTTTTTTTTTTTTTTTTGAGACGGAGTCTCGCTCTGTTGCCCAGGCTGGAGTGCAGTGGCGCGATCTCGGCTCTCTGCAAGCTCTGCCTCCTGGGTTCATGCCATTCTCCTGCCTCAGCCTCCCGAGTACCTGGGACTACAGTCGTCCGCCACCACACCCGGCTAATTTTTTGTATTTTTAGTAGAGATGGGGTTTCACCAAGTTAGCCAGCCTCGATCTCCTGACCTCGTGATCCACCCGCCTCGGGCTCCCAAAGTGCTGGGATTACAGGCATGAGCCACTTGCCGGGCCCAGATTCACCAATTTTTAATGTTGGTCACATTCTCTCCCTTCCTCTTTCTCTCTCATGCCCTTTGTGCTGTAATATTTCAGTGTGTGTTTCACAAGAACAAGGATCATCTCTTACATCACATAGTACAGTGAGAAGCTCAGAAACTTTTACATTCATGCAATACTTGTATCTGATTTACAGCCCATAGTCCAGTACTGTCAGCTGTCCCAAGCATTGAAGGAGGGCATATTCTGTAATTGATTTTTTTCCTGATGTGCATTTTCTAGCACTGATTGGCGTTCTCATTTGCTTTCTGTGCTTTCTCTACTCAATCTGGATAGCCAAGAGATTTTACCGTGGAAAATTAACTTTCTTCTCTGTCTGTCTCCTCTGTAGTTTATTTATTTATTTATTTATTTGTTCTATGCTGTGCTTTTGGGTTTGTTTGGGTTGTTTTCTTTTTCTTTTTTTTTTTTTTTTTTTTGAGACAGAGTCTCGCTCTATCACCCAAACTGGAGTGCAGTGGCGCAATCTGGGCTCGCTACAAGCTCCACCTCCCAGGTTCACACCATTCTCCTGCCTCAGCCTGCCGAGTAGCTGGGATTACAGGCACCCGCCACCATGCCTGGCTAATTTTTTGTATTTTTGGTAGAGATGGGGTTTCACCATGTTAGCCAGGATGGTCTCGATCTCCTGACCTTGTGATCCACCTGCCTTGCCTCCCAAAGTGCGGGGATTACAGATGTGAGCCACCGCACCCGGCCTTTTTTTTTTCCTTTGAGACTGGGTCTCACTGTGTCACCAAGGCTGGAGTGCAGTGGCGCGACCTCTGCTCACTGCAGCCTCCGCCTCCTGGGTTCAAGCGATTCTCCTGCCTCAGCCTCCTGAGTAGCTGGGACTACAGGCTCATGCCACCATGCCCAACTGATTTTTGTGCTTCTCGTAGAGATGGGGTTTCGCCCTGTTGGCCAAGCTGGTCTTGCACTCCTGGCCTCGAGTGACCCACCTGCCTCGGTCTCCCAAAGTGCTGGGATTACAGGCATGAGCCACCACACCCAGCCCATGCCGTGCTTTTTTGCCATTGTAGTCGAGGCATTTGGCTTTGCATGTCTATCTTTTATGTTAGAGATCCCAGTGACTTCATGAAGTGACTTCATGAGGGTCTCCACACCTGGGTTCCAGGTCTTCCTGGCATGGAACTACAGAGTGAGTATGGCATGTGCTGGAGAAAACAAAATATGTGCTGGGCATGTCCTTGGGGAAGATATTTGATTGCAAAAGACGTGATTACCCTCATGTGGCTCTGCAAAAGCATTGTTTAGAATTTACATGAGCAATTGCATAGCACAAACTCTCTATTGTTTGTGTGCATTATTGGGGCAGGGCAGCCAGAGCAGGGGGCACTTCACAGGATGTTCTGGTGATTTTGATATAAAAATATCCAAAACAATTAGATGTAAATATGAGGAGTGGGTCATATTACCTACTTAATGCGGGGATAAATATTTGTACATGCAATGAAAATAACCTAGTGAAGGCTGGGCGCATGGCTGACGCCTGTAATCCCAACACTTTGGGAGACTGAGGTGGGTGGATCACCTGAGGTCAGGAGTTCAAGACCAGCGTTACCAACATGGCAAAACCCCATCTCTACTAAAAATACAAAATTAGCCAGGCATGGTGGTGCATACCTGCAATCCCAGCTACTCGGGAGGCTGAGGCAAGAGAATCACTTGAACCCAGGAGGCACAGTTTGCAGCAAGCCGAGATTGTGCCATTGCACTCCAGCCTGGGCAACAGAGTGAGACTCCATCTCAAAAAATTTAAAAAAAAAAAAAACCTAGTGAAAAAGTGGTTATTGCAAAACAACTTTTGAAATACTGCACGTGCTGGACAGTTGATGCATTAGTTTAAAAGAAGGAAATGGGTCAGGCGTGGTGGCTCACACCAGTAATCCCAATGCTTTGGGGGGCCAAGGTAGGATGATCACTTGAGGCCAGGAGTTCAAGACCAGCCTGTGCAACATAACAGCCCCTTGTCTCTACAATTTTTTTTTTTTTAATTAGCCGGACTTGAGTTGGAAAGAAGGAAGGCGGGAGGGAAGAAAAAAGGGAGGGAGGGAAAAAAAATATGGCCACATGTGAGAAAACCCCATTAATGAAACAACCACTGGATTTTCCAAATGATGGGATGTTAAGCAGCCGTGAAGAAATGATTGATTGACAAATATTTGTGGTATATTAAGTGAAAAATAGCATGATCCCAATGATCTCTACCTACTTTTTGCAAGGGATCGTTCTAGGTATCACTAAGAATGCTGTCAGGTGTGGCGTGCTACCTTAGACTATGAAGTCAAACAGATCTGAATTCAGTTGGGCAGATTTCTTAGGCTCTCCACTCCTGACCCCTGTGTACTTAACAAATGTTGGCCATTGCTATTTTTGTCACCATCACTTTCATCATCACTTCTGGGAGTAACCAAATTGGTTTTGGCACCAGAAGATACCTTGGGGGACCAATCAGATAGCTCCTCACTTTTTTATTTTATTTTATAAATTTTTAAATTAAATTAAATTAAATTTTTTGAGACCGTCTCACTCTGTTGCCCAGGCTGGAGTACAGTAGTGCGATCACGGCTCACTGCAGCCTCTACCTCCCAGGCTCAAGCGAGCTTCCCTCCTTAGCCTACTGAGTAGCTAGGACTACAGGCGCATGCCACCACACCCAAATAATTTCTTGATTTTTTATAGAGACAAGGACTCACCACGTTGTGCAGGCGGTTCTCAAACTCCTGGGCTCAGGCAGTCCTCTGCCTCGGCCTCCCAGAGTGCTGGGATTACAGGCATGAGCCATGAGCCCGCCCAGCTCCTTACTTTTTGCAGGATGAGAGCCTGGGCTTCCTTTGATCTTGTGCAGCCAATTATACCTCCTCGGCTGTTGCAAGCTTAGATTCAAGAGATTGTATTTCCCTAGCATCCAACAGGCATATCCAAATGTCGTCTCTTCTTCCACTTCACTTTCTGTCATGCTCCCTTTAGTGGTTGTGGCCGGGGCTGGTGTTCTGATTGAGACTGATGAATTGTTTTTTTAATTTTTCCAGAGTAATTGCAATGACAGTCATTTATAGGTCGGACAGTCATGGGTCACTTAACAACTGGGGTACATTCTGAGAAGTGCATCATTAGACAGTTTTGTTGTGTGAACATCATACAGTGCACTTGCACAAACCTAGACGGTGTAGCCTAGTATACACCTAAGCTATGTGGTTTAGCCTATTACCCCAGGCTGTAAACCTGTACAGCATGTTACTGTACTGAGAACTGTAGGCAATCGTAACACAGTGGTATTTGTATACAGGCATACCACAGAGTTAAGGCAGTTTTGGTTCCAGACTACCATAATAAAGTTAAAACCACAATAGAGCAAGTCATATGAATTTTTTTGTTTCCCAGTGCATATAAAAACTATGTTTATACTGTAGTCCATTAAGTGTGTGATAGCATTATGTCTAAAAAAATGTGCACAGATTAATTTTAAAATACTTGCTGAAAAATGCTGGCAATCATCAGAGCCTTCAGCAAGTCATAATCCTTTTGCAGGTGGAGCATCTTGCCTTGATATGGATGGCTGCTGACCGATCAGGGTACTGGTTGCTGAGTTGCAGCGACTGTGGCAATTTCTTGAAATAAGATGACAATGAAGTTTGCAGCATCAATTAACTCTTCCTTTCACGACAGATTTCTCTGTAGCATGAGATGCTGTTTGGTAGCATTTTACCCACAGAAGAATTTCTTTCAAAATTAGAATCCTTTCAAACCCTGCTATGCTCTATCAACTAAGTTTATGTAGTATTCTAAATCTTTTTTTGTCATTTCTACAATGTTCATAGCATCTTCACTGGAATAAATTCCATGTCAAGAGACCACTTTCTTTGCTCATTCATTAGAAACAACTCTTCATCTGTTCAAGTTTTATCATGAGATTGGAGCAATTCAGTCGCATCTTCAGGTTCTGCTTCTAATAATTCTAGTTATGTTGCTCTTTCCACCACATCTGCAGTTACTTCCTCCACTGAAGTCTTGAACCCCTTAAAGTAATCTATGAGGGTTGGAATCAGCTTCTTCCAAGCTCCTGTTAATATTATATTTTGACCTCCTCCTACGAATCACCAATGTTCGTAATGGCATTTTGAATGGTGAATCCTTTCTGGAGGTTTTCAATTTACCTTGCCCAGATCCATCAGAGAAATCACTATCTATGGCAGCTATAACTTTACGAAATATATTTCTTTATTTTATTTTATTTTATTTTACTTTATTTTTTAAGATGGAGTCTCACTCTGTTGCCCTGGCTGAATTGCAGCGGCATGATCTCAGATCACTGCTGCCTCCACCTCCCAGGTTCAAGTGATTCTCCTGCTTCAGCCTCCCAAGTAGTGCCACCACACCTGGCTAATTTTTGTTATTTTTTTTTTTTTTAGTAGAGTCAGAGTTTCACCATGTTGGCTAGACTGGTCTTGAACTCCTGACCTCAAATGATTTGCCTGCCTTGGCCTCCCAAAGTGCTGGGATTACAGGCATGAGCCACTGTGCCTGGCTTCCAAATATATTTCTTAAATAATAAGACTTGAAAGTCGAAATGACTCCTTGATCCATGGGCTGCAGAATGGATGTTGTGTTCACAGGCACGAAAACAGCATTCATCTCCTTTTAAATTTCCATCAGAGCTCTTGGGGAACCAGGTACGTTGTCAATGAGAGGTAATATTTTGAGAGAAAACTTTTTATCCTGAGCAGTAGGTCTTAATACTGGGCTTAAAATATTCAGTAAACCATGCTGTAAACAGATGTGCTGTCCTCCAGGCTTTGTTGTTCCATTTGTAGAGCACAGGCAGAGTAGATTTAGCATAATTCTTAAGAGCTCTCAAATTTTCAAAATGGTAATCCAGTGTTGGCTTCAACTTAAAGTCACCAGCTACATTAGCCCTTAACAAGAGTCAGCCTGTTCTTTGAAGCTTTGAAGCTAGCCATTGACTTCTCCTCTGTAGCTATGAAAGTCCTAGATGACATTTTAATAAAAGGTTGTTCCATCTACATTAAAAATCTGTTTAAATTTTAGAGTAGCCACCTTCATCATTTTAGCTAGATTTTAGCTAGATCTCCTGGATAACTTGCTGCAGCTTTTACATCAGCATTTGCTGCTTCACCTTGCACTTTTATGTTATGGAGATGACTTCTGTCTTTAAACCTTATGAACCAACCTCTGCTAACTTCCAACTTTTCTTTTTTTTTTTTTTTGAAACAGTCTTGCTCTGTTGCCCAGGCTGGAATACATTGGCACAATCTCGTCTCACTGCAACCTCTGCCTCCCAGGTTCAAGTGATTCTCCTGCCTCAGCCTCCTGGGTAGCTGGGATTACAGGAGTGTGCCATCACGCCCGGCTAATTTTTTTGTATTTTTAGTAGAGACGGGGTTTCACCATGTTGGTCAGGCTGGTCTCGAACTCCTGACCTTATGATCTGCCTGCCTTGGCTTCCCAAAGTTCTGGGATTACAGGTGTGAGTCACCGTGTCCAGCCCCAACTTTTCTTCTGCAGCTTCCTCACCTTTTTCAGCCTTCACAGAATTGGAGTGTCAGGGTCTTGCTCTGGATTAGACTTTGGCTTAAGGGAATGGTGTGGCTGGTTTGATCTTCTATCCAGACTACTGAGACTTTCTCCATTTTATCAATAAGGCTGTTTTACTTTCTTCTCATTAATGTGTTCACTGGAGTAGCACTTTAAACTTCCTTCAACAACTTTTCCTTTGTATTCACAACTTGGCTAACTGGCCCAAGAGGCCTGTTGTGGCCTTCAATGTGCCTTCCTCACTAAGCTTAATCATTTGCAGCTTTTGGAATAGGGAGGCCCAAGGAGAAGGAGAGAGGCAGGGGAGTGGCCAGTGGGTGGAGAAGTCAGGACACACACAACATCTACTGATTAATTTCACTTATATAGGTGTGGTTCATGGTCCCCAAAACAATTACAACAGTAACATCAAAGATCACCGATCACAGATCACCATAACAGATATAATAATGATGAAAAGGTTTGAAATATTGTGAGAATTAGCAAAATGTGACTTAGAGACATGAAGTGAGCATGTATTGTTGGGAAAATGGCACCAGTAGACTTGCTCAATGCAGGGTTGCCGCAGACCTTCAATTTGTAAAATGTCCCATCTGTGAAGTACAATAAAGCCAATCACAAACGAGGTACGTGTACATCTCAATGTATTTAAACATAGAAAAGGTACAGTAAAAATACAGTATCGTCATCTTAGGGCACCATCATTGTATATGTGGTCTGTCATCTACTGAAATGTCATTATGCGGTGCATGACTTTATTGAAAATCATTGTAATATCTTTATTTTGGTAAATCTTTATTCAGTGTCTCATAAATCACAGGCCCCTGCTTTCAAAAATACATAATCGAGGAAGGAAGCTGTCTTGGTCAAATATGCTGAATACTCAACCCCTTGGAGAGGCATGTAGTCATTAGGATGTTCAAGTGTCTGAGAAATTCTGTTTTGAAGACACCTATTTCTATGTTTAACACAGTTTCCACTCCCGCGCCCTCCCCCCAACCCCCGTGCAACCTCCAAATTAAGTACCAGTCAGCCTCAGGGAGACTGAAGCTAGAACTCTCCTGATTGACCTATCTTTTTGATTGTGTAGTTATAGGATATTCCAAGATAAATGCACGAGTACTACCTTGACGGAATGTGATTTCTCAAGTCTTTCCAAGTATGGTGACCACACCTTGAGAGTCAGGGCTGAATTTGCAGATGAGCATTCAGACTGGGTAAACATCACCTTCTGTCCTGTGGATGACAGTAAGCCATTTTGTTTTCCCTTTTTTTGTAATGTCATCATCTTGCCTTGTTTTTTTCCACATTGGTTGGTCCATCAACAAGAATTCTCTGAGGGCCCACACATGGATGCCCTTGCACAAGGAGCTTAAGGAATATAATAAAGAGAGTTGTATCCCTAAAGAAATTCATGGGAGAGACAGAAAAAGATGGGCATATCATCAATGCAGCGATTAAATATAAATCTAACACCTTCAGTGCCTCAAGGATGTGCATATGTGGGGCCTGTGCTGTTAAGAAGTTCTGGAAGGATTCTTGTGGTGAATTTTCTGGAAGAAAGTCAGTATGGAATTATGACTTAAACAAAGAAATATAACATGATAGGCAAAAGAATGAAGGCAGGTGTAGAGATGGAAAATCTGATGCAGACAGCCAACTTGCCCAGAGCGAAGGACAGGGAGGGACAGAGCTGATGGCAGGTGGGTTGGATCAGACTGGTTGGTCAGCATCAAAAATTGTTCTCAGGTTAGGCGGAGATTGCAGTGAGCCTAGATCACGCCACTGCACTCCAGCCTGGGCAACAGAGCGAGACTTGGTCTCAAAAAAAAATTGTTCCCAGGTTAGATTTGGAGGGTCATGGTGACACCAGAGCCCCTAAATATGAGATGAGCATATTTAGAATATCAGGAATTAAAAACTAATTAAACCATGTATTAGCAATTGAGAGAGTAAAGAAGATTAGAGGTTAAAAACCTGGTTCACAAAATTCACATACAGCCCTTCAAAACTCACACAGAGAAAAGCACTAAAAGAATTGTTTCTGGCCAGGCACGGCGGCTCACATCTCCTAATCCCAACACTTTGGGAGGCTGAGATGGTGGATCACTTGAGCCCAGGAATTTTCTTCTTTTCTTTCTTTCTTTTTTTTTTTTCCTGATACAAAGTCTCGCTCTGACACCCAGGCTGAAGTGCAGTGGCGCGATCTCAGATCACTGCAAACTCTGCCTCCAGGGTTCAAGTGATTCTTGTGCCTCAGCCTCCCGAGTAACGGGGACTTCAAGTGCCTGCCACCATGCCCAGCTACATTTTTTTGTATTTTTAGTAGAGACAGGGTCTCACCATGTTGACCAGGCTGGTCTTGAACTCCTGACCTTAAGTGATCCCACCGGCCTCAGCCTCCCAAAGTGCTGGGATTACAGGCGTGAACCACTATGCTTGGCCTTAAGCCTAGGAATTTAAGACCAGCCTGGGCAACATGGGGAAACCCTGCCTCTACAAAAAAAAAAAAAAAAAAAAAAAAAACAAGAAAAATAGCCAGGCATAGTGAAGTGTGCTTGTAGTCCCAGCTACTTGGGAGGCTGAGGTGGGAGAGTCACCTGAGCCTGGGAAGTCAAGGCTGCAGTGAGCCATTATCACACCACTGCACTGCAGCAGCCTGGGTGACCAGAGTGAGGTCTTGTCTCAAAAAAAGAACTGTCTCTATATGGGGAGGTTCTTCATGCCAGTCCCTGCTCTGGACCCCCATGACCCCTACAATTACATCCTCCCTGGTAGAGAACGAGGGCTAGGATGCCTTTCTTCCCTCCCCCAATTCCATCCCAAGCCTGGGTAAAAACGTCTTACTTTTGGAACCATAAATTATCAAAGTTAGATTATCTTTTCTTTTTTATTTTATTTTTTTTCTTCTGAGGCGGAGTCTGGCTCTGTCGCCCAGGCTGGAGTGCAATGGCTGGATCTCAGCTCACTGCAAGCTCCACCTCCCGGGTTCCTGCCATTCTCCTGCCTCAGCCTCCCGAGTAGCTGGGACTACAGGGACCCGCCACCTCGCCTGGCTAGCTTTTTTGTATTTTTTGGTAGAGACGGGGTTTCACCGTGTCAGCCAGGATGGTCTTGATCTCCTGACCTAGTGATCTGCCCGTCTCGGCCTCCCAAAGTGCTGGGATTACAGTAGATTATCTTTTCTAAAGGTACCTTTACAAAAACAAAGAAAAGATGAACAGAAAAGTAAGTTTCACAGTAGTTAAAAGTACAAGTTTTTGTTCCTATAATTGCTAACTGGCTTGCCATGTCCTAACTTGTCCCAAATTCTGTTAGCTCCCATCCATGGAAGTTACCTTTAGAACCTAGGTACAGCTAAGCAGGTTGTCAAAAGGTCATACAGGTCATGAGTGGCTGAGCAAGGATTCAGACCCAAGCTCTTGCATCTGTACTCTTAGCAACTACTACCCAGTATTGGAGATTTGTTTCTTGAAGTCTATATATTTTAGTGATAGGAAAGTGCTTCCAGGCATCATGCATAACCTATTTATACTTACTTTGGCAAAGTCTTCCAACAAGTTTTCTTGTCTGGTTTTCAGACGAGCACTTTAGAATGGTAGAAGCAGGTCCATTAACAGCCCTGAAAAAGTAACAGCAACCAAAGAAGAATACAGAACATAACTCAAACACCATGATTGCCCGGAACCATTTATGAATCATTCTACAGTTATTATTGAGTACATCTGTGTAACAGCTGCATTCTGAGCACTGAAGCTACAACGATGAATGAGACAAAATCCTTGCTCTCATGGAGCATATATGTGCTAATCAGGAATACAGATAATAAATAAATAGATACATATTATATGATAGGTAGTGACTGTGGTTCTCAAGAAGACTGAAGCAAGGTAATAGGACAGAAAGTAATGGGAGCTGCGCTTCTGCATAGAGTGGTAAGATCCAGTGTCTCTGAGGAAGTAGCATTTGAACAAAGACCCAAACGAAGTGAAGGAGCCAGCCACATGAATATCTAGTAAAAGAGCATTCAGGGCCGGGCGCGGTGGCTCAAGCCTGTAATCCCAGCTCGTTGGGAAGCCGAGACGGGCGGATCACGAGGTCAGGAAATCGAGACCATCCTGGCTAACACGGTGAAACCCCGTCTCTACTAAAAAATACCAAAAAAAAAAAAAAAAAAAAAAAACTAGCCGGGCGAGGTGGCGGGCGCCTGTAGTCCCAGCTACTCAGGAGGCTGAGGCAGGAGAATGGCGTGAACCCAGAGGCGGAGCTTGCAGTGAGCTGAGATCCGGCCACCGCACTCCAGCCTGGGCGACAGAGCGAGACTCCATCTCAAAAAAAAAAAAAAAAAAAAAAAAGAGCATTCAGAAGGGAAACAGCTTTAGACTTTGTTGGACATATATATGGTTAATTATATATGTTAAACATGTAAAGGTGGCCACTAAAAATAATAGAGATGCCATCTGTAGCTTCCATCCTAACAAAGGAAGTAAAATTCAAGCCAACAAAAAGCAGGAAAATGAGAGAGGAGGAGAAGACACCAAAAACATAAAATGGAAATTTAAAAAGAAATTCTTATAGAAAATACAAAATAATATAGCTGGAATAATTCCAAATGTATCAGAAACCACAATAAACATAAGTGGACTAAACTTCATTAATAAAGACAAAGATTATCAGATTTTTTAAAAGCAACTAAATCCAACTATCCTCCTTAGCCATGTCAGTCAATGTCACGACAATGGTATATCAAAGCAGTACTTCCGTGGACTAATTGTTCTGCATGGTTATGAAAAATTAATGTTGAAGTTTTTAAAATGTGGTTTTTGATTGTCATTTTGCTGTTCTTATGCTTAGCCATTATTGGACCCCCTGGAATGCAAGTAGAAGTACTTGCTGATTCTTTACATATGCGTTTCTTAGCCCCTAAAATTGAAAATGAATATGAAACTTGGACTATGAAGAATGTGTATAATTCATGGACTTATAATGTGCAATATTGGAAAAATGGCACTGATGAAAAGGTAAGCTTGGCTAATTGCATTTCAGAGATAGTAGGCTTTCATGTTCTTTGCAGAATCTTGCAAGGTGGCAGCACCTTGTGGGCTGGTCCTCTGTAAACCAAGAGCTTCCCAGACTAAGGGGTCTCTGGCTCAAGCTTCCCAGACTCCCAAGGGATATGTGTAGAGCAGACTTTCAGGACAAAGTCTGCACAGTGACAGCAGACCTTTCCCTCGCTGAAGGGCAGTTGCAGGGGAAGGCACAGTTGAATCAGAGTTGGCTGAGGAAACTTGGAGCTGGGTGAATTAGGTGATCAGCAAATTGACAACTGTCTCATGACATCAACCCCTGTGTCCCACACGCACCACAAATCAGGGACGTCCATGGTCAAGACAGCCCCTTGTTGCTCTACTCTTCAGGGCACAATTCCTTTAAAAACATGGGCTTGGAGTCAAAAGATCTGATCGGAATATCACCCCTGCCACCATGTGCCATTGGTCGCATTCCTGACCCCAGCCTCTTCAAGTATGCAAAATGGGCACAGTAACTTACTTTATTAATAAAACAAGGATAATCACCTACTTCATAAGATTGTTGGGGAATTTAATGAAATAATAGAAAATATAAACTCATCCCATTGCCTAGGACGATGTATATATTGTCAGTACTTCAGTGCGTGAGGTTTCCTTCCTCTTTGCTAGACATGTTAATGTTATTTTTATTCATCCTTGGTCAAGGTTTATTCTGATACCTAATGCTTCTGAGCTGAGTGCCATTCATGGTCCTAAACTGATATATATGGTTATATATGTCATATTACATATAGGTTATCTCTTGCACATTAAATGTTGATTTTACCACTTAATTCTCAAAGTGTTTGGGAAGAAGGGATCACCCATGTTTATTATCTTAGGAATGATGTAAATTTATATACACACACTACATAGCCCAAAAAATCTCAAGTTAATTTTTTTCCCCAAAAAATGTTCCATTAAATGATGCAGTTTCTTTGTCCATTCCTGCTGCCACAACAAAATACCACAGACTGGGTAACTTATAAACAATAGAAATTTATTTCTCACAGTTCTGCAGGCTGGGAAGTCCAAGATCAAGGCACCAGCAGATTCGGTGTCTGGTGAGCACCAGTGTGCTCTGCCTTCTAGATGGTGGAAGGCAAAGGGCAAGGATGTTAACAGCTCCCTTGCTGCTCTCTTCTAAGGTCACCAATGGCATTCAGGAAGGCTCTGCCCTCATTATTTAATCACTTCCGAAAGCCTCTACCTCTGAGTCCTATCATATTGACAGTTACGTTTCATATGAATTCTGATACTCACATTCACTGATCAAATGCAGGCATCTCTGCTAAGCCCTGGGGTATAAAGATAAGAGCAGATCACGCCCCTCCGGGAGCTAGCAACAGACCTCAATTAAGGATCTGGTTTTACAGTAAGCAGGGTCAGGTCCCTCCTGAGGCAAGTGTGAATGCAAACTCCACTTACTGTTTAGCTTCTTTTCTCACACATGCCCACAACACGGGCATCTGGTTACACATTTGTCCTCTCCCTTCGGCCAGTTGTGTGGCAGCCTTCAGTGTGACTTACCGAGTGTGGAAAGTCTGCCTGCTGCACTGCTACTCTCACAGGTGCCTGTGATGCCACCAATACAGGTTTTTTTTTTTGGGGGGGGGGTTTTGAGGTGGAGTCACACTTTGTCATTGCCCCGGCTGGAAAGCAGTGGTGCAATCTCAGCTCACTGCAACCTCCGCCTCCTGGGTTCAAGCAATTCTCCTGCCTCAGCCTCCCAAGTAGCTGCGATTACAGGTACCTGCCACCACACTCGGCTAATTTTTGTATCAATACAGGCTTACATGGTTCCCCTCTAGAATGCAGAGATTCCTGAGGCGGTGCCAGACTAGGTCCCTAAACTCACAGCATGAAGTGCTTTTGGGAATTCTTTCTTCCTGTTGGGAGAAAGTGAGAAGATAAAACCAGAAGTTGCCCAGATGTGAAAGGATAGGAAAAGCCCCAGTGGAGTGGCATACTGCTATGCCACCACCTTACCTGCTTGCTTCTGTGTTTAATCTTTGAAAAAAATTTGCATTGTAAGGTTTGAGAGGCACTGGACTTCTGGAACTGCAAGCCGCCATTTTTTTCGGTTGTTGCTTTGATTTGCTTTTGTCTTTTAATTTACTTATTAGAAGTTAAACCATTTTCTTCATATATTCCATGAGTCTAATCCAATTATTGACCTCCATGGGCTTAGCTCCTCATGCAGTGAAGGAATATAGGCATGCTGTCAACAACCCCAACCCCAAAAGAGAAATAACCAATTGCAGCTGAGTGCAGTGACTCACACCTGTAATCCGAGCACTTTGGGAGGCCAAGGTGGGCAGGTCACCTGAGGTCAGGAGTTCAAGACGAGCCTGGCCAACATGGCAAAACCCCATCTTTACAAAAATACAAAAAAAAAAAAAGTAGCTGGGTGTGGTGGTGCGCACCTGTATTCTCAGCCTACTTGGGAGGCTGGGGCAGGAGAATTGCTTGAGCCTGGGTGCAGAGGTTGCAGTGAGCCACGATAGCGCCACTGCACTCCAGCCTGGATGACAAGAGTGAAACTCTGTCTCAAAAAATAATAATAATAATATTTAAAAGACTGTTTTATCTTATTTATTTATTTATTTATTTATTTCTGAGACAGAGTCTCGCTCTGTCACCCAGACTGGAGTGCAGTGTGGCATGATCCTGGCTCACTGCAACTTCCACCTCCCAAGTTCAAGCAATTCTCGTACGCCACCATGCCCAGATAATTTTTTGCATCTTTAGTAGAGATGGGGTTTTGCCATGGTGGCAAGGCTGGTCTCAAACTCCTCGTCTGTCTCCCAAAGTGCTGTGATTACAGGCATGAGCCAACACACCCGGCCTGCTTTATCTTTTTTAAAACAGAAGTGATGGCTTGTGTGGCATTTAAGCTAGAGAATTCAGGAACTGAGATGGTTTGTGGGCATCACCGTCAGTCCTTGATGCACCCTTGAGTGGCCTCAGGGTCCCTGAACTGAGAGGAGTACCTGCTACCTGCTCCTTCCTATTTTAAGTCTAAAACAGCTAGTATAACTGGTAAATGTGAAAAAGAAAAAAAAAAAAAAAAAGTGGTGTCCTTTCACTGCTTAGTCATGTTCTTATTTTTGTCTCCATTACTAGTTTCAACTAACTCCTCAGTATGACTTTGAGGTCCTCAGAAACCTGGAGCCATGGACAACTTATTGTGTTCAAGTTCAAGGGTTTCTTCCTGATCGGAACAAAACTGGGGAATGGAGTGAGCCTGTCTGTGAGAAAACAACCAGTGACGGTGAGTCCTGAGATGCGCCTCCGCTAAGCATCCTAAACAGCTTTGTAGACACCTGCCCTAGACATGATTGCATCCAACTCAAACTCCAGCTCAGTTCAGAAATCTGTCACCCTGACATTGTCTCTCAGCCCTGACTCATCAGCTTCATGCTGGGAAGGAGACCACGCCCGCTTCTGAGGCAGCTCATCCACTCTTAGATCAAAAGAGTTGCTAGAAACCTTTTCTGTCCAGTGGAGCGAGGTCTGCCTCCATGAGCCCGCCTTGGCAGTACTTATTCTGCCATCCCGGGCTCCCTAAAGCAAGGCCCATCAGTCCTCCCAAGACCACCAACTGAGCTCGAGCCCTGTCACATACCCCAGAGGTCTCTCCTTCCCAGGAGGCACATCTCCAGCCCCTGCTGACACGTGATGGGAAGCAAGTGTCAGGAAATCTGACCGCCGTCCTCAGCCAGTGCTGCCTGATTCAGGGCCCCTTGTATGCAGGGAACCAGGACATCAACACAGTCCTTCACACCATATGGACCACTTCTAGTTTGGGGGAAGGAACGGGAGAAGGAAAAAGAGAAGGTTCCCATGGGCCTAAACACAGAATATTTATGTGCAGACACATTGCAGTTGCATGTTGGTGAAAACTGTGGCCCAGGTGTCTGCATACAAACAGCAGGCCTTCTTATAATTTAAAGATGTTGGTGAAGGGTTCGGCAAGCTCAGACAATGGAAGGATGAAACATGGCATGCAGCATGCAGTTTGATAGAAAAACATGTCTGCTGGACGTGGTGGCTCACGCCTGTAATCCCAACACTTTGAGAGGCCGAGGCAGGCGGATCATCTGAGGTCAGGAGTTCGAAACCAGCCTGGCCAACATGGCAAAACCCCGTCTCTACTAAAAATGCAAAAATTAGCTGGGTGTGGTGGCATACACCTGTAATCCCAGCTACTTGGGAGGCTGAGGCAGGAAAATTGTTTGAATCCAGGAAGCGGAGGCTGCAGTGAGCTGAGATCATGCCACTGCACTCCAGCCTAAGCAACAAGAGTGAGACCCTGCCTCAAAAAAAAAAAAAAAAAAAAAAATTCAAATACCTTGCAAATACCAATAATCACCCATGAACTGACAAAATCCAAACATTTTACAAAACAAAAGGAAAAATATAAGCCATTGAAAACCTGCTTTCATCAAACACCATTTTCATTTTTTCTTAAAACACACCCCATTTAAATCCCACAAGTTTTCAATGAGAGCGTTAGAAGGATCTTCTCCCATTTTACAAACTAGAACATGAGGTTCGGAGAGTGATATAGTTTGGATGTTGCCCTCATCCAGATCTCATGTTGAAATGTAATCCCCAGTGCTGGAGGTGGCGCCTGGTGGGAGGTGATTGGATCATGGGGGCCTATTTCTCATGAATGGCTTAGCACCATCCTCTTGGTGCTGTCCTCATGATAGTGAGTGACTTCCTGTGAGATCTGGTGGTTTAAAAGTATGTGCCATCTTGCTGTCTCTTGCCCCCACTTAGCTTTCCACCGTGATTGGGAACTTCCAGAGGCTTCCCCAGAAACAGATACTGCTATGCTTCCTGTACAGCCTGCAGAGTCATGAGCTAATTAAACCTCTTTTCTTTATAAATTACCCAGTTTTAGTTATTTGTTTGTTTATTTGTTTTTTGGATGGAGTCTCAGTCTGTTGACTAGGCTGGAGTGCAGTGGCACGATCTTGGCACAACTTCTGCCTCCTGGGTTCAAGCAATTCTACTGCCTCAGCCTCCTGAGTAGCTGGGATTATAGGCGCCCACCACTATGCCCAGCTAATTTTTGTATTTTTAGTTGGGAATGGGTTTTCCCCATGTTGGCCAGGCTGGTCTCGAACTCCTGACCTCAAGTGATCCTCCCACTTCAGCCTCCCAAAATGCTGGGGTTATAGGCATGAGCCACCATGCCCAGTCATCCAGTTTTAGTTATTTCTTTATAGAAGTGCAAAAACAGCCTGAAACAGGGAGGTTAAGTAACTTGCCCAAATGCTAGTAAATGAAAAGGATAAACCAGAACACAGGCTCATCTAAGCCCAGGTTATGTCCCCTGTAACTTAGTACCTATAGATTAATTCCAGAGGTGAACTGAGGCTCCGTGTCTCTGGATAAAGCAGAAAGGAGTAGTCTGCCTCATGGCATGGTCGGATGGATCTGAAACAAGTTAGAGAACTTTACACAGAGGGTGTAGATTGGTAGATGCTCCCACAGTTCACAACCTGTGCAGAGCAGGGTCCTCTCTCCTTCCCCTTCTGGAACTCTCCATCTGGGGTGAGGAACAAAAGCATTCCTCGAATCATGTCACCGTCACCCAGATGTGTCCTTGTCTAAGATGCTAAGATGCCCCAGTCTGAGACACCAGGAGACCCAAGCACTGCCTCAGAGGTTCATTACTCAAAATAATATGACAGGGCAGGGCCCACAGATCCCTGTTTGAATGAGTCTCCGGGCGCCAAATGAGAGAACTACTGAACTATTAATGGAAGGATGGATGGATGAGTAGGAACATGGAACTTTCGCAAGACCCGGGATGTCAAATCCCCAGCAGACTTCACGTGTTCAGCTGTGGTGTGGACTGGGGCTGCCGTATAGCCCTGTGATCACCAAGGGCAGACTCACATGTTTGAGTTGAACATGCTGGAAGTGTGGGCCAGAAGGCACCGCTTCTGAACGTTTAAGGAGTGTCCACTGCGAGCCACGCACTGTGACAAGCACCACGTGGTGCCGGCAGATGACTGCACTTGCTGTAGCTCCAGGGTCATTGCTCTTTCAGGGCTCTTTGATGCCTGTGTCCCTTTAAAATGACATGCTCTTCACAGGCAGTGTTTGTTCTCTTGGCCCCTCTCAGAGCCAAATGCTCTGCTCATGAGGGCGGTGCTGGTTGGCAGGGGATGGGCACACAGAGATCAGGTGGCCGGGGCATCTGGAGGAGGGACCTGGGGCCGAACAAGGGGAGCTGGGACCACGAGCAACCCAGGTGACATCCTGGACTCTGTCAAAGATAAGCAAAGCAGGATGCTGGTGAAAGCGGTCAAAACATTTTATCCCGTAATGACTGGAGTAGGGAAAAGGGCCGAGTTCCATTTACTCAGAGGTGTTTTAAAGGGAGAACGAGGTCCAGGCGTGGTGGCTTATGCCTGTAATCCCAGCACTTTGGGAGGCTAAGGCAAGAGGATTGCTTGAGCCCAGGAGTTCAAGACCAGCCTGGCCAACATAGTGGAACCCCCATCTCTATAAAATATTTTAAAAATTAGCTGGGCATGGTGACACATATCTGTAGTCCCAGCTACCCAGGAGGCTGAGGTGGGAGGATCACTTGAGCCCTGGAGGTCAAGGCTGCAGTGAGCCATGTTCGCACTACTGCACTCCAACCTGGACGACAGAACAAGACTCTATCTCAAAAATGAAAATAAATAAAAGGAGAATGAGGGAGTAGAAGGAAAGAGTGCGTGGGGAGTTGAGCATAATCAGGGAAGTGAAAAAACTTTTAAATCAGCTGAGGGGCTGGGTCAGTGCGGTGAGGCCCTGTGTGTGTGTGAACCGAGGCTAGGTTTATCAAGGCTGGGCTTCTACCCTCCCACAGAGACAGGGAGACAGAGGCCCTGTCCTTCCTGCTGATTTCAAAAGAATGGCTCTCGGATCGTTGAGAAAAACATCCCCGGGTTGTGGGACATATGTATAAGTCTCAAAGGGACAGAGGAAGGATTCACCACTGTAAGCCCTTTTGAATAAATGCTCTCTGAAAGAGAGGTCAAGGCCTCTCCTCGGGAGCTGGGAAGAACAAATGGTCAGTTCCTTAGGCAGCCTTGGATTTTTCCAGACAGGAATTCAAGGGGGTTGGATCATCCCAGGTGTGTGGCCTTGGCCTGCTGAAAGCTATGCTGGGGTTTGGCCAAGTCTCTTAGTGCAGGGGTTCGTTTGCTTGTTTTGGCTTTGCTTTTGGTTTTTGAGGCAGGGTTTCACTCTGTCGCCCCGGTTGGAATGCAGTGGTACAATCATAGCTCACTGTCACAGCCTCGACCTCCCGGGCTCAAGCGACCCTCCCACCGAAGCCTTTCAAATCGCTGGGACTACAGGTGTGTGCCGTCATACCCAGCTAATTTTTTAAAAACTTATTTTGTTGTAGAGAAGCGGTCTCACTATGTTGCCCAGACTGGTCTCAAACTCCTGGGCTCAAGTGATCCTCCCGCCTCGGCCTCCCAGAGTCCTGGGATTACAGGTAGGAGCCACCACACCTGGCCTAGAGCAGGGGTTCGGATAGAGTTGTTCATTCAGAGAGTTTCTGTCTTTCTCAATATAGAATGAGATGGAGCCTGTGTTTAACTCAGGCTCACGTGTCCAGGGGAGTCTCACTTGCTCCGTCAAGGCAGAAGTAGTATATCCAGAGGCCCGTTGCTACACTGCCAGTAGGTACAGTGGATCAGAATTCTTGCTTGTTATTCTTTGGATGTATATCAGCAATAATTCCAGACACTAAACTTTGGAGAAGATAGGAAAAGGGTGAAACTCTTCGAAAACCTCTGGGTCCTCTAACCAGTTGCTGTGTTTCTGAGACATCTCCCAAGATGAACATACAGGCTCTGTTTTCAGGGATTGTGATGGTTAAAATGCTCTTGGGATCACCGTGACCCAACCTGTGACAAGAATGTAACATGCCCATTATCCCTGGCAGAAACGGTCCCCTCCTGGATGGTGGCCATCATCCTCATGGCCTCGGTCTTCGTGGTCTGCCTGGCACTCCTTGGCTGCTTCGCCTTGCTGTGGTGCATTTATAAGAAGACAAAGTACACCTTCTCCCCTGGGAATTCTCTTCCACAGCACCTGAAAGAGGTAGGTAGGGTGGAGAGAGATGCAGATTCAAAAACCTTGATTGGAAAGAGCTTTCCTTTCAAGTTAGGGCTGCCCAATTCCAGACATGTTTTCCAGGAGAAAACACACACACACACACACACACACACGTCTTTGTGTGCTTGTCCATTCTCTTTTAACCATTTCAGGGAAGTCTGAAGTCAAGGAACAGCCCCGAGGAAAGGGGCGCAGCTTTGTCCAGTAGCCCTCCCTACACCCTAGGGTGTCGCTCCTTCTCCAGCCTTCCCTGCCCAAAGCCCCAGGTCCCTGGGGAGCAAAGGTGATGGTTCTAGGGCAGGAGAGGAAAAAGCAGCGCCTAGTGTGGAAAAAAGAGAAAACTCGAGGCTAAATGCCAGCAAATCGCCAGAGGGAGAGAATGGGAGGAAGGAAAGGCACATTTCCAGTTTTAGAATATGCAAGAGTGATTGAAATTCTGGGTAGTGTTTCCTGGTCTTTAAGAAGGCTATTTTTAAAAGGGTTAGGAGAAGAAACAATGCAACTGACTAATGATAACAGGACTGAAGAAGCCCTAAGAAATGAAACTCTGGATAGTCACTGACACTTGAAAATGAAAAGATGCCAAGCCCAGACCAAAAGGAACTCTCTTTGGTCCCATTTCCCAGGAAGCAGACTCTGAGATAGAGATTTGCTTTCAAAAGGCTGAATGGGGAACATCCTTGGGAATAATATGCTAAGGGAATGAAGGTAGCCAGATGAGGCAGAGAGAGGTTGAGCTGTCACACAGCCACAACAGAGGCCTCAGCCAATCCCATGTGACCTCTCGAGTGGGGGTGGCCCCTTAGAGATGTCCTAAGCTGAGGCAAGAGGGATGGGCATGTGAACTCCACAATGGCCATGCCCTGGATGTGGGCTACTCCCAGGAAGGGGCCCTAAGCTAGGGTGAGGGGTGAGACAGCAGCAGACAGGAGCTAGGAGTACGAGTACCTCCTTCCTGAAGGTACCACAGCATCCATTACAGTCACCCCGGGACCACTTGGATAAACTGGAAGCAGCTCCTCCAGGATCTGAGTTGATCTCATTTCCTGGGGAAGTTTACAGGAGGAAGATGAGTGGAATGTACTCCAGCCCCCACTGCTGCTGCTGGTCTCGGGACCACAAAGGAACGCTTGTGGGTTGGCCCGTTCCTCTGCTGGCCCTGAGGGTCCGCTCTCCTCTCCCGGGAGGAGCCTGTGCTGTAGGGGCTGCTGACTTGATTGGGTGTCCCAGCCTTCATCCTGGAGAGGACTGAGCCTCCGGTCCCCAGGCCCATCTCAGGCAATGGCCTGCCCCTGCACTTGTCAACTTGCTGTCAAAATCGGGCAAGGGAGTCCCAGGAAGTGCCCAGTGACTCTGGCGGGTGCCCACTGTGATACAGTGGTGACTTCTCTTCTTGCCTGCCAGTCTCTTGGCCTGAGGAGGTGGCTTAAAGTTTATCGGCCCTTGTTTCGTGCCCTCTGGTAGAAATGCTCCCACTCTGGGAACCTTTTAGACCAGGTGTGGCAAACTTTTTCTTAAAGGGTCAGGTAAAAAATATTTTAGAAGGCCAGGCACAGTGGCTCATGCCTGTAAGCCTAGCACTTTGGGAGGCTGAGGCGGGTGGATCACCTAAGATCAGGAGATGGAGACCATCCTGGCTAACATGGTGAAACCCCATCTCTACTGAAAATACAAAAAATTAGCTGGGCGCAGTGGCGGGCACCTGTAGTCCCAGCTACTCAGGAGGCTGAGGCAGGAGAATCGCGTGAACCAGGGAGGCAGAGCTGGCAGTGAGCCGAGATTGCACCACTGCACTCCAGCCTGGGCAACAGAGCGAGACTCCATCTCAAAAAAAAAAAAAAAAAAAAAAAAAATACAAAAATTAGCCAAGCATGGTGGTGCATGCCTATAATCTCAGCTACTCAGGAGACTGAGGCAGGAGAATCGCTTGAACTCGGGAGGTGAAAGTTGCAGTGAACCCTCACACCACTGCACTCCACCCTGAGCAACAGAGCGAGACTCTGTCTCAAAATTTAAAAATTTTTAAAATGTATATATATATTTTAGGTTCTGTTGGCAAGAAATAAAAATCAAAGTTATATATTCACTTATATAACCACTTAAATGTAATCATTGAAAAATCCTCAAGCCATATGAAAACACAAGTGGTAGGCCGGATCTGCCCCATGAGCCTTCATTTGCTAGTCCTGCCCTAGACCCACAGAGCCTCAAACCGCGAGGTCAGGGAGCAGCGGTTTCCCCAGTAGGTCACTGGGCATGAGGGTGAACAGGGCCACTCCTGCCCCCTGCTTGCTTCCGGACCCGGGCGTTCCACCTGCTGGGGGCACAGCATCACGTGATGATTGTCGGTCCTGGGTGCGTGCCAGGTGCTGGAGGACAACGCTGCACTCTCAGCAGGTGTCACCTCGAAGCTGGCGCCTCCCCTGCCCTTTCAACAGGCCACTCCGTTCTTCTTCCAGGCTGGCAGCTGCTGGGTGGTGCAGGGTGTGATACGACCGGGGGGTCCCGCGTTCACTGTCAGTGGGCCCATTGGTCTGGCACCATGTGATACGGCCTCTCTATTAGTTTGTCAGGGCTGCTGTAGCAAAGTAGCACTCGTTGTGCAGTTAAACAACGGGAATTGATTATTTCACAGTTCTCGAGGCCAGACATCCAAAGTCAAGGTGTCACTAGGGTGGGTTCCTCGGAGGCTGTGAGGGAGGATCTGTCCCAGGCCTCTCCCCTAACTTCTCAGGGTTGCTGGCGATCTTTGGCGTTCCTTGGCTTCTGGAGGCACCACCCAGTCTCTGCCTTGATCGTCACACGGACTTCTCCCTATGTGAGTGTCTGTGTCCACATTGCCCCCTCTTTATACAGACACCAGTCACGGGGGAGGCTCACCCTACTCCACTGTAGCCTCATTCTAACTTAACTGATCCCCTCTGCAGCAACCCTATCTCCAAATACAGTCACATTCTGAGGTAGAGGGATTAGGACATACGAACTTCTTTTTTTTTTTTTTTTTTTTTTGGAGACAGAGTCTCACAATGGAGTGGCATGATTTCGGCTCACTGCAATCTCTGCCTCCTGGGTTCAAGTGATTCTCCTGCCTCAGCCTCCCAAGTAGCTGGGATTACAGGCACCCACCACCACGCCCAGTGAATTTTTGTGTTTTTAGTAGAGACAGGGTTTCACCATATTGGCCAGGCTGGTCTCAAAGTCCTGATCTCAAGTGATCTGTCCGCCCTGGCCTCCCAAAGTGCTGGGATTACAGGTGTGAGCCACCGCGCCTGGCCCAGGGGATATGAATTTTGTGGGAATAGAATTCAACCCCTAACAGGATCCTCTACCAGGAGAGCAAACACCTGTGAGACCATAGTGGTCCTGACAGGCCCTGCAGGACACGAACAGCAAATCACTCCTAAACTAAAGGTCAGCTCCAGCCAGGATGCACCACGGCCCCTTCCAGAGTGGTGCGAGAGAGTCGGTGTCATCAGCTTGCTACCAGGTGGCTGGTTGGTCTCCTCGGGGGATGCCTTCATATCGGGGCTCAGCATTGATCTCTGTCGCAGGCAGGTTGGACATTCTGCAGCAGTGGTGGCTACCCAGCCACGGGAGTGGGAGCCCCTTCTCTCAGGCCCACGCGCAGCCTCCATCCCTTCCGCCTCGGCTGCTGTGTTCATGAGCCCTGTGCCACGGACAGGTGACCAGTGGCAGAGGCTGGCTGACATCCACTGGCTGTGTCATCATGTCTCCCTGGCCGTCGGCTGTCTAGGACACATGCTTTCAGTGGGAGTTAATATGGGACGCAGAAATCCCCACGCTCCAGCTACTCCCTCAGGTCCATCCTTCTTCCCAGACGTCCTTGTCCCTAACTTTCCAGTCTTCCTTCCCCAGAGCCCCTGACCACCAGCCTCATCACTAACCCCTGCCTGGGATCCCACAGCTGGCCTGATCTTGGGCTGCTTTTCTTTCCACGTAAAGGGGATGACCAGACCCACGGCCCAAAGCTCCGCCATGGGGAGGCTGTCTCCCTGGTTGGGGCTGAAGTGCAGTAGCGGGCCACTTTCAGTGTGTGCCCACGTACCATGCTAACCTTGCCATGAAACCACGCTGGCCTTTCCTCCTTCTTCAGCTGGGCATAAGTACCCATCCCCCTTTGCAGTCATCACGTGAGCAGACGCAGCCACTGTGCAACAGGGATCGAGGGCACAGGAGTCCCAGCCACCTGCATGTGGCTGACATGCACCCTCTGACCCCATCTCAGGGCCTGCTGGGTCTCAGGCCTCATGATGGTCGCTTCTGGGCAGCACAATCACCTCACGTCCCTGGTCAGAAGCTCTGTCTCTGTCAGGTCCCCATAGCGTCCCAAGAGCTGCTTTTTCAAACAGGGTATAATTATCTGCTGCAGATGGCCCCGCCTGACCCCAGAACTCTCGTATCTATGTTGTGATTTTCCTCCTGGGATTTGCCATAAACTCCACCCAGCATCTTTTCCCACCCCAGACACTTCAAGGATGTGCCAAGTCACACATTCCCCAGGTTGGATTCGCAGGCTGTCCCTGGGGATAACGCACCAGTCCTGAGGTGTGCGTAGGGCTGCAGGCTCCACGGCCCATACCTTCTGCAGGGCACTTTCCTGCCCTGGGCCCCTCAGTGCCGACAGCCTCCTGTGTGTGTGATAAACATATTGGAGCAGTCAGTATTCCTGGGCGTGGAACATGCTGCCTCCAGAACCCTGAGGCCTCCACAGCACAATGCTTCCTTCCTAGTGGAGGGAGGGGCGAGACACAATAATTGATCCTTTCAAGAGGATGTGCTGGCATGCCCCACTGCAAGGGTCCCCTCAAATTTCACGGATGTGGCAGGTCCCTGAATCTCTACAGGGCGAGTTTCTCACCCTCTGCAGTGTGTGTGCCTCACCAATGCCTTGCCACTTCCTGCATGTCTGGTCCTATTAATGTATTGTTGTGATAGCTAATATCAGGCCCTTGTCCCCGCACCAC